TATTTGCTTTGTTCTTCTGTATGTGATAATTTTATAATGCAAAAGGTTAATAATATTGTCTTTGATTAAAATTAAAACTACAGAGTACTTTGTAGCAAATGGAACCTAGAAATTATTTTGTTCCTTCCGTTTGCTAACTATGGAAAGTACAATTTTTTTCCTATGTCATATAAGTAGTCTTTTCAGAGCTGGGCTCAGAACCTTAGCCTCCTAATTTTTATTCTGATAATTTTTCCTTAAAACTCTCTGCCATACTAACTCAATTAATTTGAAATGTTTAAGATTAAGCAGAAACTACGTGACCACGAATTTGTCATTATCACTATCATTTATCAGAAACATGTTGGTTTGTTGAAAACAGCTGGGAAAACATCACTTTAATACCTTAAAAATAATAAAAATAAAAATGCATTATCTTTAACAGTTAACAAAGATAAATGTGTGTGTGTGTATTTTAAGTTTGCCATGCAGAAAGCACCTACTTTTTTGGGGGTGGGGTGGGGTGGGGAGTGACAATAGGGAGAGACCTAATATTTACTGAATGTAAACTTGTACTAGGCTCAATTATATGACCTTTACATACATTACTGTTTAATCCTCAATCCTATTAAGTTATATAATCATTATTTTACTGATAATAAACCTGAAACTGAGCAAGGATAAGTAAGTTGACTAAGGTAAACTGCAAGTCTTGGATTCAAACCCCAGGCAGGTGACTTCCTAACATGGGCTTTTCCATGCTGTTTGACACCATGCTGTTATGCAACAAGCCTTCTTGACTGGCAGTCATGATGTCCCTAATGTCTTTTCATTACAGGGAAAGTATTAACCATGGGAGTACCTTGGATTCTTCTTGAGGTTTGCCCACAAATATAGAGTAATATTTTCATGTTGAATAATTTTTTCCATATTTCCACTGTCCAGGTCTGCCAAAGTACTAGCTTGCTGTAAGAGAAAAAGAAACCATTATAAAGGATTAGAGGTCTCATAAATAATGCAACTTAGATAAGTTATTCCATCATTTATATGTTGGATTCATTACCTAAAAAAGTAACTCAGGTAAAAATAAGATTCAATCAAAATGACAAAGAATAGTTTTTAAAAATTCTCTAAAGGATACAAATACATTTACCTAATTAATTAGCCTTTCCTTTTTCCACTCAGTTTCTCCTAAAGTGTCCAAGGATTAAAGTTGCCCCTATATTCTCCATTAACACTTTTGTATTACTATTCTATTACCTCTGTTTCAATTTTAACTTAAAAATCCTAATTTTAAATTTTAAATGTACCAAAACTTCTTTATCTGTACCTTATCAAAAGGTAGACTTTACTACTGCAAAAAGTTAGCCTATTTCTGAACATATCAAATTTAGAAGGCAAAACATCCAGCTGATGGAATCCAGATAAATCATGTGCTTTACTAGTCTAATACTTGATATCTGACATTCAATATACAATTTAAGGAGGCTCTTAAGAATTTTTTTTTAAAAGACTAACATAGTTTAATGCCTATTGCTTAAGAAATCAGCTCTCCTAAAGGTCTTAAATAAGTCAATATGTGTTTGGTTGTTATAATATAAAAAACTTAAAAGTATTAAGGATTTTATTTATGGTTTATTAAAAAAAAAAAAGAGTGATTATTCCATCCACACTTTTTTTTTCCCCCTGTGATATTAACTCTTTGAAATGACCAGGACAGTTATCCTGTAGAACTATTCTATCTTGTGGATTTATCTGATTGGTTCCTAATGGTATTGTTTAACTAGTTCCTCTATCTCGTTTAATTTTTGTAAACTGGAAGTTAGGTCCAGGGGGTTTGATTACATTCAAATCAAATATTTTTGGCAAGAAAGCATAACAGGTTATACTGTGTTCTTCATATTGCATCCTATTAGGAGGCGCCTGATGTCCCACTATTAATGATGCTGACTTGATCACTTGGTTAAGGTAGTGACCACCACATCTACCCATTACAAAGTACATTTTTCCCAATCAGAAAGTAATCTGTGGGCTAATACTTTGGTATTATAAGAATAATGTGATCCTCAACAAACTTTCACCTGATCATTTATGTAGCTGTAGAGAATCCTTATCTGAATCAATTATTATATTGGGGGATTGCAAAATGGTGATTTTCTTAACAGAATCATTCCTTCCACATTCATTAGATGGCATTCTTTTGTAAAGAACTGTTCTTCCCCCATCCCACTGTCCCCTTCCATTTCTGGAGTATCACTGTAGACTCAGGAGTGTTTATTTATTCAGTGTGTTATAACCAATTACACTCATTATTCTTTTTGATATTCAAATTATGCCAAATTTGGTTACTAGGAACCTCTTCAAGCTAGTTAGTCCCTATCCCTTTTGATATGACCCTGTTAGTCTTTGAGCACGTACTTGTTTTCTTGCACAAGGTAACACAGCCTCATCTTTCACTTTCCCTGCGTTAGACCTGAAATCAGCCATTTATCACAATTAGTCCTGGTTCCTTTTTATGAAATGAAAACAAATCTGGTTCACATTAATATTTCCATTTCAAATTTAACATTTCAGGAGTTTTTCCTAATCTTTTATATATTGTATTTAATTTTCTCTCATAATGAAAATCTTGATTACTAATAATCATAGTACATTCCCTTGCTTTTTCAATATACATAAAATAATTACAAAACTATAATGTCAATACTACTGCCAACAATAAATTTACTTAGTGAAATTTAAGACTTCTTTGCTGTTCTTTGTCATTAGAACATATCCTACCGAGGCTACACAGGGGATTGTGTTCTAGACCAAAAGAGATCAACAGACAAAATAGCCAAAAGCAATGTATGAACTTAGACTGGTTTCTGATATAAAAAACAACCTGAAGCAAAATAAAAACAGCTACAAAGGATGTTCATAAGATATTAGGGAAAATTTAAATATGGACTAGTTATTAGAGGATATTATGGAATTATTATTAACTTTCTTAGGTATAATAATGGTTTTTGTGGTTATTTGAGATTATCGTTGTTGTTAGGTGCCATTGAGTCAGTTCCAACTCATAGCGACCCTATGTACAACAGAATGAAACACTGCCCTGTCCTGAGCCATCCTTACAATTGTTATGTTTGAGCCCACTGTTGTAGCCACTCTGTCAATCCATCTCGCTGAGGGTGTTCTTCTTTTTCGCTGACCCGCCACTTTGCCAAGCATGATGTTCTTCTCCAGGGACTGATCCCTCCTGATAACATGTCCAAAGTATGTGAGACAAAGTCTCACCATCCTTGCTTCTAAGAGGTATTCTGGTTTTACTTCTTCTAAGACAGATTTGTGCATTCTTTTGGCAGTTCATGGTATAGTTAGTATTCTTTGTCAACACCACAGTTCAAAGGCGTCAATTCTTCTTCAGTCTTCCTTATTTTTAGTCCAGCTTTCACATGCATATGAGGCGACTGAAAACATCATGGCTTGGATCAGGCACACCTTAGTCTTCAAGGTGACATCTTCGCTTTTTAACACCTAAAAGAGGTCTTTTGCAGAAAATTTGCCCATTAATGCGTCTTTCGATTTCTTGACTTCTGCTTCCATGGGCGTTGATTGTGGATCCAAGTAAAATGAAATCCTTGACAACTTTAATCTTTTTTCTGTTTATCATGATGTTGCTTATTGGTCCAGTTGTGAGGATTTTTGTTTTATGTTGAGGTGTAATCCATACTGAAGGCTTTAGTCTTTGATCTTCGTCAGTAAGCACTTCAAGTCCTCTTCACTTTCAGCAAACGAGGTTGTATAATCTGCATATCACAGGTTGTTACTGAGTCTTCCTCCAATCCTGATACCACCTTCTTCTTCATATAGTCCATGTTCTCGGATTATTTGCTCAGCATACAGATTGAATAAGTATGGTGAAAGGATACAACCCTGACGCACACTACTGCTGAGATATTTGGGGAAGAAGTGTCATGATGTCTACAACTTTCAAATAATACTAGGGGAGAATATAGAGAGAGATAAAGAAAATACTACAAAATATTTTAAAATTACTGAATTTAGGTGGAGGGCATATGGGGGTTCATGGTACCAGTCTTTCAACTTTTCTTTGTTTGATTACAGTATTTTCCAACATAAAAAAAAACTGAAGAAAATATACATTATGTTTATAATCTATATTTATAGTATAGATTATAATCTTGTGCAAATTGACTTATCCAGTGTGAATATCTGATATATGATATTTTGTGAATTTATTTTCATAGTGAAGCTAGTCAACCTTGGTCAGCATAAGGAAAAACTGGACTTTAGCTAAATCTATAATGTCTTTTTTATTTAAAAAATAAAATATTGGTAGCTGTTAAATCTGCAGAGATATATGTAATTTATATTATTCTATTAACTTTTCCATAATTTTAATCTTTAAGGAAAAAAAAAGAAAAATGATACTGGATTATTTTATTATGTGCATTAAATTTTAACTCTTACACTTCCTCCTGGCCTCCCACTGCCAGCAGTCCTGAACTCCTGCTGTTGCTGGGACCCTGAGTCATCACCCGTTCTGAGCATGATGCTCCCTAAAAAGGGAGATGATAGAATTGAACCACCCCCAATCATTGGAAGATTTGGAACCTTCCTGCAAATTGGTATTGTTGGATTACCAAATGTTGGGAAATCCACCTTCTTCAATGTATTAACCAATAGGCTTCAGCAGAAAACTTCCCATTCTGCACTACTGATCCTAATGAGAGGAGAGTATCTATGCCAGATGAGGGGTTTGATTTTCTTTGCCAATACCACAAACCAGCATGAAAAATTCTCACCTTTCTAAATGTAGTAGATATTGCTGGCCTGTGAAAGGAGCTCACAATGGGAAGGGGTTGGGAAATGCCTTTTTATCTCATATTAGTAACTGTGATGGAATCTTTCATCTAACACGTGCTTTTGAAGATGATGATATCACTCATGTTGAAGGAAGTGGAGATCCTATTTGAGATATAGAAATAATACGTGAACAGCTTCAGCTCAAAGATGAGGAAATGTTTGGGCCCATTATAGATAAACCAGAAAAAGTGGCTGTGAGAGGAGGAGATAAAAAAACTAAAACCTGAATATGACATAATGTGCAAAGTCAAATCCTGGGTTGTACATCTAAAGAAACTTGTTCGCTTCTATCATGATTGAAATGACAAAAAGATTGAAGTGTTGAATAAACATTTATTTCTGACTTCAAAACCAATGCTCTACTTAATCTTTCTGAAAAAGACGACAAAAGAAAGAAAAACAAATGGTTGATAAAAATTAAAAGAGAGGGTAGACAAGTATGACCCAGGTGCCTTGTCATTCCTTTTAGTGGGCTTTGGAACTCAAGTTGCAAAAATTGAGTGCTGGAGGTGGGGCCAAGAAGGTAGAGTAGTCAGAAGCTTCTGGTGGTCCCTCTTACAACAAAGACCAGAAAAAACAAGTGAATCGATAATATATGACAATCTAGGGGCCCTGAACATCAAAGGCAAAGTTGAGGAATTGGACTGAGTGGAAGGGGAAGGGAGAGACGGTTCAGAAGCAGCGAGGAATTGCCAGACCTGACCCAGTGGGAGCTGGCACCCTGCAGGCCAGATCGGCTGGCATGCGCGGTGAGGTGGGCAGTGATGTTCGGGACACGTTTTCCACGTCGGAAGAGACAGAGCGGCAGAGAGTCTGCTCAGGCCTCCAGAGCCAGTGAAACGTGGTACTCAATCAGCAAAAGATAAGTACATGCGTTTAGCCTACCACACGGATCAAAAAACACCCCGTTTGGGAAGAACCTCTCTCCCATTTACCTGCTCCCGCCCTGTTCTGCAGTAGGTCCTGGGCTGGCTTCAGTGGCTGCCACTTCCCCTGGGCTAGAAGTAGGACCCGTCACGTGCTCTGAGCCATTCTCCCGGCCTTGGAGAGGGAACACATTAACAAACAGGAAAAAATAATCTGCCAGCTCC